CTCGCCGCCCGCCGCCTCCCTGTCTGTAGTACGAAGAAACAGTTTAGTCTTGTCTGGTGGTGGCGGTGCCTTTAGTTTTTGTTTTTACCTGTTTTCTGCACTGCGTTGGAGTGGGGAGGGTGGAAGAGCTCTGCAACCCTAGACTTTTTGCCCCTTCGCTTCCTTCTCCTGTGGTTACGGGTTGGTACTGCGTCCAGGTTGGCTATAATGAGATTGTTTTCATCTCCTCTCTCTCTAGGACCGGAAATCACCTTCAAGCCATTCTGGTGAAAGTCTGGCATAAATTAAGAAGGAAAACATCTCCTTTGTGAGTAGTTTTACCCCGCTTTTCTGTTTAATACAGTTGGTGCAATGGTAGGATGTGTTTCTGTGGAACTTACTTTTATCTTGAAGGCAAAGAGCTAATTTCTTTAGTGGACCCTGTCCCCAGAGCCAGGCCAGGGCAATCCCCGGGAAGCTCTGGGACTGGGTGCTGATGTTTGCACCACCGGTGTTCTCCAGAGTTCTAGTTTAAGTTAGTTCCATCTTAAATGTTTTTTTTTGTTTAATATTCTTTTCCTTTCTAATGGAGAGAAATGATTTTTTTCTTTGCTGTTGGATTAAGGCAAATGTACTGAATTTTCTGTTGTTTCAAGGTTGATGGAGACAATATCTTTTGTGTTTTTTTTATTTGAGGAAGATTTGTATCTGTATCCTCACAGTCCTCCAGCAAGCATCACATTAGGAATACATAGTCTAGTTTCATGCTAGTCGTAATTCTAGGATAGACCACTGAAATGGTGGTGACATCCTCCATCATGAAGTTAATGTGCTTTTTCCCCTTGTTACTAGAAAGTAATCTATGTGCTGTACATTTTGGTTTAGTAAAATGCCCCGTTTTGTCATGTTCCGTTAATGGCTTTAACACTAATCCTTGTCTTAATCAGTAGTTTTACTAGGAGTCTCAAAATGATTGTTTTTAAACAATTCTCTGATTTTACATTTATTGTTTGGAATTCTGTACAGTTTTATTTGCCTGTTTTGTCCTTTTAGTTGATCGGTTTTCCACTGGTCATCAAAAAGAGGCTTCTAATTCGTTTCTCTTTTGCAGTCAGATTTCTGCCTTCCCTCTGCCCTTGTTGCCTCTTGGCAAACTTGGCTTTACCCTTACTTACTCTGTTATGCTTCTCATCACGCTGCTGTAGTTAGACAGCTTTTAAGAATAAAAATTATTTACACAAAAGTTTCCATAGAATACTGAAAGTATTGGTGTTTCACATTGCTTGGTAGTTTTGTGAGATGATGGAACATGGGTATGGTTCTAGAGCTATGAGGAGGCTTCACAGGGAGAGGGAACTAGTGGGGCTTCAGAAGATTGGCAGGGTAAAAAGCCATTGACTCAGTTACTATCACTTGGAAAAGCCGCTTTTCAAAAAAAAAAAAAATCTGAATTTCTCTTCAGGGTGTTCCTAGGGTATTTGTGGCTTGACATACAAAGGACTAGGTTTAGTGTTAGCCAGGTTGGGGTTCATCTCTCTGCTCTCTTACTTTGGCAAGTGCAAACTAAACAGGAGTCAATAAATGAACCTTTATAAATGCACATCTTATTCAGTGAAATGCTTTTTTTTAATGTACATTTTACAAATGAGTGAATTTTGTCTGTCTGCCCAAGATTGCTGATTGATGAAGACTGAAATGACTTTAAAAATAGGTAAAATAGCTGGCCCATAAGTTTCAGGACACACACACAGAGGTTGTTAATGGTAGCTGCAATTCTTACCTTTTTTTCTTTACTTCTTGAGATTTTGTTAGCTTTATCTTTAAGCCCTTTTATTGATTTTTCCATTTCTGCTAAGCTTTTCATTTCTGGAATCTCTTTTTTGTATTAGAAATGTTAATTTTTACATGGTCTTCTGCTTATCTTGTATCCATAGAGTACTGGTCGTTTGTGGGTTTTCATTTTATATTTTCTTTTTCCTGCATTTTTCTCTGTCCTTTTTTTTCTCTCTTTTAACAAGTATTTTTCTTATTAGAAACTTTTTTCAGATATTTCCTAATTCTTGTTGGTCTCATGATTAAAGATTGGGAAATAGAAAACAGATTGGAAAAATAAGTGCAGCTTTCGACTTGGAGCTTCACTTGGATGATTCTCTTGACCAATATATGGAGAACCTCTAAAGTCATTATCTTTAGATCTTTACTTTTTGTGGGTTCCTGATTCCACAGAAGAGTGTTTCTGGCAAAGAAGTTTTCCAGGGACGTCTGCTGCCTGGAAGATAAGACACCTGGATGCCAGCTTTCTGGGAATCAAGAGGGAGAGAGGGGGCATTTCATGCACATAGTGTTGAAGTGTTCACCAGTGCTAGGTGAACCCAAGACGTAGCTGGAAAAAAATCAAGAAACAGAGAGAAAAAAAAGATAAGAAGTGTAGCTTTGTCTCTTATCCTCTCCAAAGAACTAAAGTCTAGAACTTGGGCCAGGGTGTAGAAAGAACTATTATCATCAACGTGATGGGAGGGGAGGGACCTAAGATTTCACAGCCTCTTTATTTTAGCCACCTCCTCTGTTCCAGTGATAACCTGAAGCTATAGGCTTCTGAGCCTTTTGAGGATTCTGCAGCATAAATCAGGGTGTTTCTCAGCTTTTTCCAGCACTGCGTTAGAGTTTGGCTATCTCAGATAGGCAGAGTTAGTTAACTACTCATCCATCTGCTTTTCAGCTTTTCAGCTTTTGTTGTTTTTGTTTCTTCTCTTGTTTTTCCTTTCCTGTGAGGAGGAGGAACTTTACTGCTGTTTATGGGGTGGTTTTAGAAGGGAGTGAAGTTAGTTCTGTGTGATCAGTCTGCCATCTTAATCCCTACCAGACTCTTGATTTCTAGGTGGTAGTTTTGTACTTAGGCTCTTAATTCTCTTGGTATTTGTGGTAGTTTTTCATTTAATTCTTTGTTCTCCTATCTCATTGTATTTGTCAATACACCCAAAACCATGGTACAGCTTTGTTTTGCTTATGATTTTAGATGGGAATGCTTGTAGCATATATTCACTAAACATGAAACTGGCTTTAAAGTTGATACTATTTTAATGTAAATGTTTTTGTAAAGAAAGATCTGTTCTGTGACTGAATATGTCCACAGAGGTGCCACAGAACATGTTTTTGAACTCATTGGTGATGAACAGGTTTTTGTAGCATACATCCTAATTATCTGCTGTAGAGCCTAGAAGATAAAGGTGTGCTTACAGGTGGCCAAAAAATGAAAGTTTGAAGCAATAATTAAGCATTTTAAAATACTTTCTTGGTGATTTTAATATTTAAGGTTCATAGTTTACCTTTCTAATCGTATCCTAATCTGTCATGTTAATACTTCACTATTTCTATTTTAGCTACCATTTTTTTTAACTGATTATTTTTAATATGTAAGTTCTACTTAATTGTGTATTAACAATTGAATATTAAGTAACTAATAAATTATTCAACTGATTTTTTAAAAATTGAAGATGGTCTCGGGAAGATTAATGATACTCAGTTATAACTTAAAATTTCAGTAAAATTTTTTGCAACTTTGAAAAAGCATGTTTTAAAAAGTGTAACACTGAATCACACACTTAAAAATAGTTAAAATGACAAGTTTGTGCTATATATATTTTCCCACAATTTTTTAAAAAGGTAAATGTAGCAATCTTCAGGAAATAAAAACTGCTGTGAGATGTTACAAAAGTAAGCACAATAGGGCAAAGTTCCCTGACTTGTATCTTTGTTTTAGTGTTAACTCTTATCATTACCTCTAATTAAATACCTTTTTAACTTTGCAAGGTTGTTACCCACTACCTAGAGATCATTTGCATTTATGAGTCTTGCTTGGGTTTAAGCCTAACTTTTATGTATGGTTGTAGTACAATTTTGTATTGATCTTCTGTATGCAGGTTCTCCATTGATTTTATGTTAATTTTCATTGTATCTAAATGAAAATCAATTAAACATTAAATAGTTGTAGATCAGTAAGATACCACAGGAAGATGGGGTAAATATTTAAGATTAATTTGACATGTTGAAATTCTAGGGTGTAGGCAAAGTATTTGCCTGCATACCTTCTCATGGAGATGGATTTAATATTTTTTGCACTCTTTAATATGGTCCAGGCAGAGACTAGGGACTTTGCATGTCCAGTCATCACGATAAATATCTCAAGACTCCTGTATTATCACCATTTACAATTTGTAGTTTAGAAAATTAAAACTCATTGAAGTAAGGTAATTTGGTGCCACATAGCTAATTAGCTAAACCATAACTTTTTCTGTTTTTGGATAATACTGTAAAAATAGTTAAAACTTCTCTGTAGGCCATGTTTATGGAATTAAAATGTTTGATGGTTAAATTATATGCACATGGCTTTTAATAGTGGTTTAACTTTTTCATAATCTAGGATTTGAAAATAGGTGAATACTTAATCTTTTTTCAGAAATGACTACATTGAATTTAGCATAAAGAATGCCCTTTCTGTTACTTCTTTGGAAAGATTAAGTTAGGACCTAACAGCCTCCAGAGGATACTGTGTAGTCACTTAACAGCCCTTTTCCAGAAATTGTTCTTTTCTATTTAAGGTTTATTCAAATACATAAAGAACTGAGAGAATTCATGTTCAACAGCTATTATATTTCATAACTCAGTTTAGGCTGAATTATTGCCTCTTTCCTTTGAAAATCAACCATATAGTAAGCTTACTGGATGAATGTTAACTGTGATCCTGATTTTCGCGTTTCTTTTATAACCTTTTTAAACTCGTCCCTTAGGTTAGTTATTTCTTATTCTTTGAGATAGACTTATTTGAATGTTGATTTTTTAAAATAAATTTGGTCCTTATTAAAAGAAGTAATTTTTAAAAATTGCTTTATACATTAATTGCACAAAATGTAGTGGCTATGAAATAGATTATAGGGTCAGATTTCTTGGATTTGAATCCTGACTACCCTTTCCAGCAGTGGAGACTTGGGCAGGCCAGACAGATTACTTATCTTGAGTCTTAGTTTCCTAATGGATAAAATGGGAAAAAGAATAGTTCTACCTCATTTACATAAGCATTAATTGAATTAATATATTTAATGGCATGTCAGTTATTAAGAATAAACATTACCTTTTGTATGACTATAACTATTGCCACTTAAAATTAGTTGGGAACCTTATTTCGAAAAGATACCTGCACTCCAATGTTAATAGCAGCACTATTTACAATCGCCAAGACATGGAAACAGCCTAAATGTCCATCCACAGATGACTGGATAAAGAAGTTGTGGTATATTTATACAATGGAATAGTACTCAACCATAAAAAATAAAATAATGCCATTTGCAGCGACATGGATGGCCTTGGAGAATGTCATTCTAAGTGAAGTAAGCCAGAAAGAGAAAGAAAAATACCATATGATATCACTTATATGTGGGATCCCCCCCCAAAAAAAGAAAGGAAAAGACAAACTGAAATTACAAAACAGAAACAGACTCAGACAGAAAACAAACTTATGGTTACTAGCAGGGAACGGGGTGTGAAGGGATAAATTTAGAGTTCAAGATCTGCAGATACTGACTGGTACATATAAAATAGATAAACACGTGTATACTGTACAGCACACTGAAAAATATTCGATATCTTGTAGCTTACAGTGAAAAAGAATATGAAAACGAATATATGTATATGCATGTATGACTGAAGCATTGTGCTGTACACCAGAAATTGACACAACATTGTAAACTGACTATACTTAAATTAAAAAAAGTAGTTGGGAAGATTTTAGAATAGAATGTTACTTGGCATATTTTTGTATGAGATGTTCAAAATTGAATGATGACTGCTTTATGAGTGAGTTTTCTTAATTATTCACACTCAAAAAGTTCCCTCCTCCTTCACTGTCTTGAGTTTCTAAGAAAATTGAAGCCAGCTTGTATAAACTTACCTCAGCTTTCTGTTATTTCTGCATACTTATATACATTCCAGTTGCAGTTGACCCTTAAATAACACGGGTTTGAACTGCATGGGTCCACTTATACTCAGATTTTTTTCAGTAAATACTGTAGTACTGCACAGTCCGAGTTGGCTGAATCTGCGGAAGTGGAACCTTGGATACAGAGGGCCAGCTGTCCTGGATATCCTTGGATGTCCTGGGACCACCTCCTCCCACCCTCGCAGATACCACAGAACAGCCATATACTTAACTTTTCCCCCCTTGTCTTTGAGAAAAGGTGATTTCCTGTTTATGATCAGTTTCACTACCACCTATGCACAAACCCTCATCTTCTCTTAAGAGCCTTGTTTCACTGATTACTCACTTCTCCAGATCCTTCCAACTGGGTCTTTCTGCCAGATCCTTTTGTTCCCCAGTAGGTACATGGAAGTGTGTTGAATAAAATAAAGTGACTGAGAATTTGGGACCTAGAGTTAGAGCTCTGAGTTTTAGGTCCTATTTGGGCTTATCTAGATCTGTTTCCTGATCTGTAAAATGAATTAAATTATATCTATGTCATGGGTTTTTCTCAGAATTTTACATAAAAAACCCCATAGCATAGTGTCTGGCAGTTCCTGGACAAGGAGAAAAAAGATTCAGAAAGATTTAATCGCATAGTTATATTGGAAGCAGAGAATTCGAATAGTGACAAAAGACACTGGGGAAATAGGGATTGGATGGTATCATAGTCATTTTAGTAGCTAAAAGTATATCTAGTGTAGTGATTGTATTTAGACCCTGAGGTATTGGTGCTTGACAGAATTTGTTACTGTTTTCTATTTCAAGGAAAGACTTGGATAAAAATCACATAAAAGAATTTAAAATTTCATTTGTGCTATTTTGTTGCAGTAAAATACAATAATCATACTAGTCTTAACTGTACTTCAATAAAAAAATATATACTAGAACTTTTTTTTTCTTTTCTCTGTTACAGGTTCTTGGCATGGATAAATGTTCAGTGGGAGGATTAGACTTGACTGAACAGACTCCTGTTTTATTAGGGAGTAAAGCCATGACAGCTAGTCTCATGGACATAGGAAACTCATTTGGTGACCCAGCTAGCCCTTTAATTAACAGATCTAGAAACTCATCAGTGGAAGATGACGATGATGTTGTATTTATTGAATCTATACAGCCTCCTTCAACTTCTGCTCCAGTAATAGCTGTTCAAAGAAATTTTACATTTGCTTCATCAAGAAATGAAAAGCTACAAGGAAATTACTCCATAATTCTTCCCTCCTCAAGAGATCTGGCTTCTCAGAAGGGAAGTCTAAGCGAGACAATTGTCATTGATGATGAAGAGGACATGGAAACAAATGGAAGAGAAAAGAGAAATTCTTCCAGTTTTATCGAATGGGGACTTCCCAGAGCTAAAAACAGAACCAAAGATTTGGATTTCTCCACCTCGAGTCTTTCAAGAAGTAAGGTAAATGCAGGAATGGGTAATGGTGTTATCACTACAGAATCGACTCTGAAATTCATATTACTAATGTTACAACCTTAGAAAGAGGTATTAAGCTCTGAATGCTGGGCGAGATATGAACTTAATGATTACACATGTAACATCACTATAGAATACCAACTTGGGAGATGTCTCTAACGGACTGCAGTCAAGTAATTTTGGTGTTAATATACAAACATACACCCCATCTTTAACTTCACAGACCAAGACTGCAGTAGGACCTTTTAATCCTGGTAGAGTGAATTTGGCAGGAGATGAATTTCAGAATGGAGAATTTGCGACTCATCATAGTCCTGGTAAGCAGTAAGTGATATTAAGTATTTTCTTTCCACCGCAAGTAAATAAACTTTCGGCTGTTATATTTAGTATTGATATTTATTTTATTTACATTCTGTATGTGAAATATTTTATTACTCTTGACTTTCATATTAAGATAGAATGTTTTACTTAATAAAACTGTGTACTGTTTTGCCCAATTTGATTTATATCCAAAGTATTTTAATTGAAAAGTCCCATAACTATTACCTATATCTTTGTTTACTAGCATCTTTATTTTAACGTAAAAGTCGTAGAATAAAAAGATGGTTAGTGAACTGAGAGATTAATGTTACATAATAATTAAATATTACTTAACTTTTAATTCTATAACTTGACATTTCAATTTTTACTTTTCAAGTATTTACTTTTGGACTGCTTGTCTCTGATTTTTATTTTTAAATAAGCATTTTATTAATTGCTTCATTTTAAAAGTTTGAAAACTTTCTTACCTTTAAATCAGACACCTGTATTTTAAAAACTTTCTATGTGGCCAGTCTTGTTCTGATAAAATATAATGAAAGTTATTTAAAATTTTACAAATCTCTTTTGTGGCTTTTTCATGACTTAGTGTGGGGCTTATTTTTTGTTTGTTTGTTTGTTTTGGTTTTTAATGGCCATTTTAGTTCTCTGAGTTATTGACCGTCTTAGAATTTTATGAAAGGACTAGGAAGCAACCAGAGCTAATAAGAATCTAATCACTTACTGCTTTAATGGAATGCTAGTATTTTTTTTTCTTTAAACATTTTAAAATTAATTTTTCTTTGGTTATGGGAATATTACAGATCATTTGGAAGAAATCATAATTAGAAATAAGAAAATAGTATCGGGGGGAGGGTATAACTCAGAGTGGTAGAGAGCACGCTTAGCATGTGTGAGGTCCTGGGTTCAATCCCCAGTACCTCCTCTAAAAAAAGAAAGTAAATAAATAAGTAAACTTAATTACCTCCCTCCTCATCTCAAAAAAAAAAAAAAAACCTAAAAAAAAATAGTATCTGTCACTTACCCTACTAAGTAGAGGTGACTTGATCACTGTTAAAATTTTATTTGTTTGTTTTTTAGATAATTGTGGATAGTTTTTTCTTCTCCTTTTCCTTTTGACACAGTTCTCATAGTGTGGAATCTGAAACCACATAATGAACTTTTCATTCTTTTGTATTACAATTCATTTATCTTTGAATGGATTTTACCTTTGTATGATTTGGTAAACATTGTGCTTTGGTTATTTGGAAAGAATTGATTTGCTGAGTTACGTAGGTCTTCTAAATGTTGACACTTTAGAAAGCTGTCAAGCTAACAGTGCTTTTTTTTTTTTAAATTGAGTTATAGTCAGTTTACAATGAGTGCAAGTTTTCTTAGATCCTAATTTTCACTTGAAAGCTCAAATTTTCCCATTGGCAACAAATACTGTTGTTTTTCTTAAACTGACAGGCTCATTTGATTTTCAACAAAATGTCAATAACCAGTTGGTCAGGCATTCTTTAAAGTAAAAGTGATATTCAGGAAAACGGCTAGTTCAGCTTGCAGTGCAACAATTTTGCAAGTGCTTTTCCACTTTTTCTTAAGACAACCATTGTACTTTGGTTGAAACAGAAGTGGTTTGTGTATGCGTCCCTGTTCGTTATATAGAATGTTGAGATGTAGTCAAAGGCTGAAATTTAATAAAGTTAATAGTAATTTTCACTTTTTCATCAAATTTGTCTATTGTATAATAAATCGTTCCACTGGCCTTTGTCCCTGGCTCTTGGGAGAGAGACTAAATCCTTGGAATTTACCAAATGCCTAGTGACAAAAGACTGAGGCTGAGGGAGGGTCACCAGAAAGACCAAGCATGTCATGAGAGTTGGGCCTTTGAGCCAGCTTCACCTCCTTGGAGGAGACAGAGGCTGGAGATTGAGTTTAGTCATATGCAGTCATGCCCACACAATGAGACTCAATAATAACTCCAGACACTGAAGCTCAACGTAGCCTCCTGGTAGGTGGACCCATCCATGCCAGATGGGTGATGGTGCCTAATTCCACAGAGAGTGGGCACAGAAGCTTGGCACTGGGGCCCTCCCAGACCTCACCCTGTATGTCTCTTCATTTGGCTGGTCCCAATTTGTATCCTTCAAATAAAACTATGATTGTAAGTGTAGAGCTTTCCTCAGTTCTGTGAATCATTCTAACCAATTATCAAACCTGGAGGGGTCTTAGGACCTTCCAGATTTACAGTGAGTTGTCTAGAAGTGCAGGTGGCATCCAGAGTCAGGGCAGCCTTGTTGTGGACTATGCCTTTAAAGCTGTGAGGCTGATGCTAGCTCCAGGTGGTTAAATGGCAGAATTATAATGATTGACCAGTTGGTGTTGGAATAACAGCCGTAAGTGAAGATACCACTTTTTCTTTCTTTTCTACGAGTGCCTCTTAGTGGAGAGAACAGTACAGTCAGAATGTAGTCGTGCTGGTACAGCACAGCTTGGCTCCGCCACCAGCAGTTTCACCAGCATTGCTTCTGCATCACTAGTGCAAATGCCAACATGGCGAAAAAGGCAAATTATCTTGGTCTTGTTATAGAAATAGTTTGGCTTTGCAGGTCCCTTTTATTTCTTTTTTATGTGATGTTGAGTAGAGTGATCAGAGTATAAAGTCTTGTTTTTGACCTGGGGTGGAAGGGAAGCATTTGACATTTCATCATTTAATGTATTAGATTGTGTCAAATATAATAAGCTTTTTATGTTTATCTGATAGCATGATTTATCTGATAGCGTGTTTCTGGTCTTTGCAGTCATAAACAGGCTTCTCATGAATCTCTGTAAGTTTGTCAACACTTGTTTTATTTTCTTCTGAAAATTTTCTGTACGTAAAATTGCTAAGTCAAAATGTCAATTTATTTTTAAAGCTCTTGATGGGTAATACAAAAATTGTATTTGTTTCCTTACACCATAAGAAGTTGGTTTTTTTCTTCCATATTTTAAGTTCTTAGAGGTAGGAGTATTATTTAATGTTCGCTAAACTGATCACTTAAAGGTGGTATCATCTTAATTTATGTATCGTTGAACTTTTAAAAGTACATTTGCAAACTTTTTATGAATTTGTTCATTCATGTTCATCCACTTGTTACTTTGTATACCTTTTGTTTATTAAGAGTTAAACTTGATAAATATAAAAACTTGTGATCTCTGTATTGAAGGATGTGTTAAAAGCAGTTGAAAAAGATGTTGAATACTAGAAATAGTGTTCACTGAAAAATAATTGTTTTGGATCTTTTGTTTCTTTTACTCATTGACTTATTTTTAATTTTGTAATTATTTCCTAAATTTTAGATGTATATTTGTGGAAGCATGAATTCCATCTTACATACATATAAGCTCTTAAGTGAAGTTAAAATCAAAAAGCCTTGCTGTGTTTCTTTTGTTTCAGCTTTGACCATTTTTCACCTTCTGAAATAAATTGAAATTGTGTATTTAATGGTGAAGTGGATCAATAAGATGCCTTTCTGTTTAAAAGCACAGCACATAGCCTGATACTTAGCTGTGAAAATGCTGTCAAGGCCACTCAAATTGTGGGCATAAAGGAAACTTCCAAATGTTGTTTGAAAGTAATTTTGATTACTCCTGAGTGTGTGTTTATTCTTGTCATCTCTTTATCTCATTCATTCAAAACTGTATTTTACGTTACTATATTTTTCATGACATAAAATATCAATGGTTTTAATTTTAGGGGGAGGTAATTAGGTTTACTTATTTATTTACTTAGAGGAGATACTGGGGATTGAACCCAGGACCTCCTGCATGCTAAGCATGCTCTCTACCATTGGAGCTATACCCTCCCCCTCAGTGATTTTAAAATGTGACAAAGACAAAAAGCACTAGAAGACCCACTTGATGTTCATTTATATACATGTTCTTAACTATGTTTAAACTGTGTTGTTTATGATATGGCAGTGAATTTCCATATTCTGAAGTACGGATTTACAGTGTTACTGTGTTCTCTAAGGTTTTATTTTGGGGGACAAAAGTTAGAGAACTAAATAATACCACTTGGTGTCAAATTCTGAAGAGGTCTACCGAGGTGTCAGGTGAAGAGAGATGGTTAAGATGTGTCTTAAGCTTGCTGAAAGGTGAAGCCACTTGTCACAAGGCCTGTCTTCTTGTCGTTGATGCCTTCACTCTTCGTTTAAATTGAATGTAGCAAAGCTGATCTTAGTATTAACCCTAAATTTTGTTATTGCTTGCTATCAGCATTAGTAAAACTAGCCAATTTTCCCAGGCGACGTACAGAACAGGAAAGCAGCAGCTGTATTCCTGTTGCGACTGTTGTTACTGCTTAGAGTCACAACTCCCCCAGGGCATCTCGCTTTAGCTGCTGTGTGCATCCCACTTCTATAGACAAACAAGGGCAAGATGAGGGTTTCTGGAGTTGAGTTATATTTAAATCTAGGGCTTAAAAGTTCAGATTTCATTCTATAAAATTGTGACTCTCTCTAAAGTACAAATGAAACTCTGTTCCATCTTATGAAAATGGGACCGTCCATTAGAATGGAACTTTCAATCACTTACCCTTTCATTGACTTTTAGGGTAGACTGTTTTTCTTTTCTTCACTTATCACATATCTTTATGTAAATAGCAAAATCTCATTGCAGAAAATACCTAAACTTAGAAATTGTTCTTGCATCTGTGTTGTATTTTTGTTACATTATAAGCATTTCTGTCCATGATACTGATTCTAGGAAGTTCTGCTTCTGATAATAATAGACTGTGGACTAATAATAGATAGGTAACTCCTATCCCTCCTCCAGAGAATATATAAAATATGAAAAGCATCATAGAGCTATAAATACAATGAAAAAATTAGGTTTCTAATATCTGAGAAGGAGCCTTAGAGATGTCATCTCTTACTTGGGGTTGCTTTTCTCTTATGGGTATGTGTTGAGGTCCAGAAAAGGCTGCTGGGAATCCAAAGGGCGCTTTCAGCAGAATTTTTTGAATTGGGGATATTCCAACCTTTGAATTGGGGATAGAATAACATAATCTAGACTCTGAAATTTTTTTTCTGTTTTTCATATAAAAATAATAACAATTAGGGATATGAGGATGCAAGACAATATAACAAAATCAAGAGGAAAAAAAGCAGACAATAGAATGAGCCCACAAAGGGTACAGATAATAGGATTATTAGATAATCTACACTTTAACTGCAGGTTGGGCACAGCTGAGGAGCATCTGAGTGTATCAGAACATTATCCAGACTGAAGCACAGAGAACTGAAAGGAGGGAAACAGAAAAAGATGTAAGAGACTTAACTGCACTTGATGAAAAGGATATGTAATTAATGTCCCAGACAGAAGAGGTACAATTGAGAATTTCCTAAAATAGAGAAGAAACACTAATGTATGAATTCAAGAACCTTTACAAATCCCAAGCAGGATAAATACCTAAGAAACCATTAGGAGACGTGCAGAATTCACAGTCACAGATGGGAAGCAATACAAGTGTCCGCAGCAGCAGTATTAGCCACACTGTGGAACACCCCCGTGGAAAGGAGCAAACAACCACAGCCGTGTGATGAAGCTTACAGGCAAGATGCTGAGTCAAGGACACGAGAGAAGAGGGTACATTGCGCGTGATTTCATACATGAAGTACAAAATAAGACAAACTAATCTTTGAAGTCGGAATAGGGGTGGTTTGTGGGAAAGGAGGGAAGTAACTGAGTGGAAGAGACATCAGGAAGACTTCTGGGACGTGGAAGTTTGCTGTTTATCTGTGTGATGGTCGTACAAGTACATACTCATCGTAAAAGTCTCCATTGATCTCTGCACTTAAGATGTGTAAACTTTTATGTGTATGCATTGTTCTTTAATAACTAAAAAAAACCCTACTGAGACACTGAAATAACTTCTCACTAGCAGCCCAACGCTAAAGAAACACTAAAAGGTTGTTCTTTAGGCTGAGCTTAGATGCAGGAAGAAATGAAGAACATTTAAAACTCAAATAGCGGGTATGGTCCTTACTGGACTTTGGTGTAAATCACCTCTAACTTCTAGGTCTTAATTTTCCTTGCATGTAATGAGGGATTTAGATTAAGTAGTCTGCTAGGCCCCTTCTCGTAAAATGTATCCTCGGGATAGAGCATGGAAGAATTTGAGAGTTCTTTACATTTAACCTGGAGACACTAGTACCAAAAATAAGAATTTGATGAAATAAGAAACTTTAAAATTAGAAGAAATTGAATACTTGAAGTATAAACAGAACATTTGCTTTATATATGTATGTACAAAAGCTAAAGTGAAAAAAATTTCAGAACCAATTGAGCAGTATTGTTGATGTCTCACTGTACATAATTATATATAAATATATGGTATTTATCCATGGATAAGTCCGCAAAATTTAAAAGCCCAATATTTTTGTATTTAGGGTTCTTATTTCTCCCATATTAATGGTAGCAACAAATCTTGTAATAGTTATCTTTTATTTCTGTTACTTATTAAATCTAGTTTGTTATCCAGTATGATATGCAGTGAAGTTTGGTCCCAGAATGCACCCTGTTTATAAATAATATTTGCTTTCTAAAGAAATGGTTAGGAAGTAGGAAAATTTAGCAATAAAGAAAGTTCTGAGTACTTCGTAATAAAAAACAGTTTTGGAATCCAGTCCATATTCGCCAGCAAGTCATCCTGTGGAATGAAAGAACGAAAAGGAAAAAACAAGATCAGAAACAGTGGGTGGGAATTAGAAATGAAAAGAGTTGTTAGTGTTGGTAGTATTACGAGAGGCCTTGGAGCTGTGATGCATGGAGGGGCCGCAGGCCTTGGCTCATAACAAAAGCTGTTGAAGAGAGATGATAGAATAATGTAGTAGTTCTGGGCCCTGTTTCTCAAAGATTCACTGTTACCCAGAGTTAGTTAGAAATGTAGGATCTCAGCCCCTCCTCAGACCTACTGTTTTGTTGTTGTTGTTTTGCCTTTCTGTGAGTTCACTGTGGTTTTTTTTTAATTATTACTTTAAGAAAATGACATTCTGTGCTTTTTGGATTTTAAAGGTAACCATACCCAATGTAGAAATTTGGAAAGGTAAGATCATAAACAGTGCCCTCACTGTTACCATCAGCAGCACCTGAGGGTTTACGCCTCCATTTGGCTTTGCACGTGCATCTGTAACCCTGGACTCACGTGCACATCACAGCTGTGATAATGTGATGTCCACAGCACATGCTAGGAGACGTGCCTGACCCACACTGGCTTCTACCTAGAAGGCAGCTCTCCCAATGCAGTAATTCCCTTGGGTTGTGTCAAGCTGTTCTGTCTCAGTCCAGCCACAAATGATCGTGACCAGGGGCAGTTTTATTAACATGATTGATAGATTATGAGTCAAGATGGCTGCACCTAGTAAGGGAGGATCAGACCTACTGATTTAGAATCACTATTTAAACAAGGTCCCCAGGTCATCTTATGCATGTTTAAGTCTGAGAGGCACTATGACCTGCATACGATGTTGTTCCGTTTTGAAGCTAATGGTAATGTATGATGGAGGCCCTGTGTGATCCACCACCTCTACTGATGCCTAGGAGAGATTTCAGAAGGCTAGGGAGTAATTGTACAAAGAGTTGCTTTAAAATGTTATGTCTAAATTATATTTATTTCAAAGTATTTTGGAGGGAAATGTACTAATGTCTATATATTACTTAAAATACATAAAAAGGGTAGATTGAAAGATGTGATAAAGCGAAATAGTGTAGAATCTACTTGGACATACAGGTGTTCACTGTAAAATTCTTTCAACATCTCTATATGCTTTAAGTTTTTCATAAGAAAATGTTAGAGGGAAGCTGTTAAGAAAATGGGTATCATATATCATACTCTTCAGTTATCTTTTATTTGCATATTTGCTTTGTTTTGTATTGTAGTCTTTCCTCTTAGAAAAAGTGGCTTAGGAAGTGCCCTGAGTACAAAATGTAATGCTTCATCGTATGCATTATCTAATTTAGTCTTTTTTTTTCTTTCTTTAGAGTAAAAGTAGATTTATTCAGGGAGATACACACACCAGAGACAGAGTGCAGGCCATCTCAAAAAGCAAGAGAGGGACAGAGAGAGTCAGCTTCATTTAGTCTTCATAACACTGATAGGTTAGGTATCTGCGCAGTTTGTAGCTGAGAAAACCGAGACCCAGTTTAATTTACTTACACAGTCTCCGGTGCAGGAGATACATTTTGAAGCTTGGGGATCTGACTTGAGAGACGATGGCTGCCGCATCGCACAGCTGCACAGCCACTGTTTCCACAGCTGGCACAGTAGGACACCACCCCTCAGAATACAAAGTGGTGGTTCCCCAGGGTGGATAGCAGGCCGCCTGGCCCGAACCACTCACTTGTAAGGCTTTCTTGATATTTTCCTACTTGTGCAATATGAACGTTTTCTGATGTGAATTTTGAACTGTTCAGTGACTTTTTCTTGTGTGTTTTCTTTTTAAGATTCTTGGATCTCCCAGTCAGCATTGTTTCCCCGTAATCAGAAACAGCCAGGGGTGGATTCTTTATCACCAGTGGCCTCGCTTCCTAAACAGATTTTCCAGCCTTCTGCCCAACAGCAACTGACTAAACCAGTTAAAATCACTTGTGCAAACTGCAAAAAGCCTTTACAGAAGGGACAGACAGCTTATCAGCGCAAAGGATCAGCTCACCTCTTCTGTTCCACCACCTGCCTCTCTTCCTTCTCTCATAAGCGTACTCCAAAGAAACGCAATGTAACAAGTAAAAAGTAAGGATTACCTTTCAGCACGGCTCCATGTGGTTGGACCCTGGCAGTGTGAATGTGTGTTCTGAAAGTAATTGTTGCAAAGATTCGTGGGTAGAATTGATGCACAGGTGTCTTCAGGTTCACTGAGCTGTTGCCTAGAGTGTCAGAGCCGTGGGTCGTTTGTGCTGCACTCAACTCAGGCAGGAGAGTATCGGTGTAGAAGTAAATCCACCCTCTCTCTCCCTGTTGCTGCCTTTGCCTCGCCCCTCCCCCACCTTCTCCCTTAGTTCTGTCCACTTGCTGACACCCTTCTGAATGCTTCTGAAAGTCGCAAGAACCTGTGGCAAGGTTTAAAAGGTCGTAACGGTGACAACAAAATATTTTCATCTCTAAATCTCTTCTCACATTATTTATGAACTCTTGGCAGTGAAACCAAAAAGTAGATTCTTCTAGACCAAAAATTATAGTTGATTCCTAGGTTTAAATCATGAGAAAATGTGAAATGTCAGTTATTGTTCATATGTTCTTAAATTGTGTCTATCCATTGTGTTTCAGAGATGCACCTACAAAAAAAGCTTCTGTTGTTCCTCAAGTGGAGTCAAGTGGATCCTTCCAAAAATTGTGTAGTACATCTTGTTTGTCTCCCTTTGAAGACAACCAGAATCTTAGAAAAAGAGTTCTGAATAAATCAAGATGTACAATCTGTAGTAAACTTACGGAGGTCTGGAGTTTTACATCTTATTTATGATCTAGGTTACAGTGATCATTCTAACTTTTAGGTGCTGTTAAGTGCTCTACCATCTCCCCAGTCTACCTATGATGTTAAGGGAAGAACCAGGATACGTCAGACTGCCCCGTAAACGGATGGCCATTTGTGTGGTGTGCGAAGTAAACATCCCTGTCTGTGGAATTAGATGTACTCATAAACAAAGCAATAGTTTTATGGCGGATTTTGTTTTTACTAGCCACACTAAAAAATGTAGGTTTAGGATGTAAAGGAAACAGCCAGTCCTGCAAGAACACATAGAACAAGCAGAGTCGGTTGCTTCATATTTCTTAGGTAGTGTTGCCATCTTTCGAAAGAAGAGTGTATCCAGGCATTTTCACTTAACACAGCCCTGGGTAACTGAATGAGGTGTCGGTTACTCGGCAGCTGTGCAAACCCAGATGTGGTGTTATCTCCCTTACGTATATACAGGGTGTGGGCAACATTGACCCCCACCCCTACTCCCACCAGGTTTTCTAGGAGAGTGAAGTTTATGATACCTACAAATTCCCAATCCATTTATTGTTAAGCAGGTCATATCAAAGCCTGCTAACCAGTTCATCTTCTGTAATTCTTAAATGTCTCTGGGGAGGTTATTACTGGTTTTATTGCTTTTTGTTCTGTGAATGTTATTTTTCTTTTTTTATAAAACCAAAGAATGGTTTTACAAAGAAATCAAAAGTAAAAATGAAAGTAGCTAAATGTGCTTTTTTTTGAGTAAAGGTATATTTATTTAGAGAGATACATGCTGCATAGAGTGAAAGGCAAGGAAAGGTGTGGTGGTTGGGTGCTCAGGTTAAAGTAAAATAGGTACATGCTCCATAGACAGAGTGCTGGCTGTCTCCAAAGAGGAGGGAGTGAAAAAGGGCCCTAAATGTGCTTTTTAAAGTCTTCCCTGAATGTTTCTTCCACTGAGAAATTACTAGAGGTGCTTTGTTTCTGTTGAAGAAACTAGTTATCTCATTTTTGGTGCTAATAATGGCTCATTTATTTAAAAATTGGTTTTTCTTTTAGATTCGCCACGAAGTCAGCGTTAATAATGTAACACATAAACTGTGCAGTAACCAGTGCTTTAATAAGTACAGGTTGGCCAATGGTCTGATAATGAATTGCTGTGAGCAGTGTGGGGAGTACTTGCCCAGCAAAGATGTTGGAAACAACGTCTTGGTCATTGAAGGTCAGCAGATGAGATTTTGCTGCCAAAGTTGTATTAACGAATATAAACAGGTAATTCTTTCTTAATGAGTATTAATGAGCAAGTTTGCAATAGCTTCTCCCTGTTAGCTTACTTTGAGCAGATTTAAGTTAGAATCTCCTTTGGTTCCATTTTTGGCAGTCTCTCATTGAGTAATACTCTTAGGTATTGAAATTGATTTCTAAGTAAGCTTGTTTTAGATCTTTACTTTTTTTGTAGACGTTACAATGAGTAATTCTTTTCTCTACCAATTTGCACTCCCACTGACAACTTAATAGTTCCAGTTACTCTATATTCTTAGCTAAATTTAGTATTGTCTGTTTTGACTTAAACTATTCTGATGGATATGAAATGATGATCTTATTGTGGATTTAATTTCCTGGTAACTACTGTTCCCCTTTAATCACTCATATATCTTCTCTAGTAAAAGTATCTATTCAAGTCTTAGCTCACCTTTTTATTAAGTTGTCTTCCTATTATTGAGTTGTAGGAATTCTTTATATATTCTGGATATGTATCTTTTGTAAAATAAATGTACTTGGAAGATTTTTCCCCTGGATAGTGTTTTGTCTTTTTGTTTTCTTACTGTTGCTTTTAAAAAGCCCAAGTTTTAATTTTAATAAGGTCCAATTTACTATTTGCTTTTCTGATTAATACTTTTTGTGTCTTGTTTAAGGAATCTTTGCCTACCAAGGTTACGAGATATTTATGTCATCTTATATAAGCTTTTTAGTTTTAGATTTTATGTTTAAGTCTGTGATCCATCTCAAGTTAATTTTGTGGATGGTGTGAGGTAGGTGTTAAAGAATTTCCTTTCTGATTTCAAGACATTAAAAACCTCAAAACATTGTATCATATACCATAAATATGTATAATTTCTAAAAATTATTTATTTTGAGAGGGGAGGGAGGTCATTAGGTCTATTTATTTGTTGTTAGTTTTTTTTTTTTTTAATAGAAGCACTGGGTATTGAACCCAGGACCTCGTGCATGCTAAGTATGTGCTCTACCACTTGAGCTATACCCTCCCTCCAATATGTACAATTTTTATTTATCAGTTATACCTCAGTAAACCTGGGGAAAAAAGACATTAAGCTACAGTAATTAAGATAGTGTGGTATTGACATATAAAGATAAACATATCAATGGACTAGATAGGCCAGAAATAGAACCACACAAATATAGTTCATTGATTTTAGGAGAAAGGACAAAATCATTTTGATGGGAAAAGCAAGATACTTTCAATAGACGATGCTGGGACAACTTTTTTGTTTGTATGGGCATAAGTGAACCTGACCTCATTTTATCCAATGTATAAAAATTAATTCACTGTGGATCATAAATGTAAAATCAGGAGCATGTTCAACTCTCATTTTGCTGAATAAAGATCTCGGTGGTTCACTTTTGGGGAACAGTAACTCTGAATTGCAGACTTGTTGGACAGCAGAAGAAACAGTAGGTCCCGTGTTGACTTTTGAGTTTTTGTACGAAGGCTTATTTATATTATCTTTATTGTTTTCTTTATATATATTGCACCTCATATTTAAAAGCTTTTGGGTGTGGCTTATGGATAAGATTGCAGGGGACGGTTTAAAAACAGGCAAAAGGATGTAGCATACATACATTATCTTTTCTAAAGAGTATATAAAAATAACCTCTGATTTGGTAATAAACAACTATTTTAGGTCATATGTTTTGGTTTTTTTTTAATGGATGATTTACCTGCGTCTACTTAGGCCGTAGGCTTCTACTCAGCCAAGGACAATGAGTGCATAAACTTCAGACAGATACGCTGTTTGTTCTCTGAAGAGCAGACAGCTTGCACAAAGGTTATCAATTTTTTACTCCTAAATGAACACCAGAGGAGGTAAAAATGGGAAAATGTGCATAGTCAGAATAGACAGCAACAATATATATCCAGAATTGCTTGAATAACTACATTACCTGCCACTCTGATCCCCCCAGAAATGTCTGTCCACATCAGTAATGCAGATAGCTCATTAGTACTTGGCAAATAGAAGAATGACATTTCTGTGTAATACAGAAGTTTTATAAATGCGTTTTTAAGTGATGAGTGGCAGGCCTCACAACAGAAAACCTTAGTGATGTATGAAAACCTTAAGGAAAAAACTGAACTCTTGCAGTTAGTGGCTTATCTCAAAATACCACGCACAGTCATGATGCTAAGACTGGGTCTTGGTATTAGTCAGTGGCCTAACCAGGGCTGATTTTGCCCCCTGGGGACATTTGTCAGTGTCTGTAAACATTTGATTATCACAACTGGGTGAGTGCTCCTGGCACCTAGAGGGTGGAGGCCAGAGATCCTAAACATGTGCAGCGCGCCAGGCAGCCCCTCACAGCAGAGTATCTGGCCCCAGAGAGGTGCCAGGGGTGCCAACGTCGAGAAGCCCTGTGTCTAAAGGCTAAGTTGAGAATGGCAACTGTGAGATAAGCATAGTAAGGAGGAGGAGAACTAAGTTTCCATCCTCCCCTCTGAGAAGTCAGTAGTGATGCCTGAAACTGGGAGAAAAATCACTAAATAGTGATACACGGATGTTGTTTTAATATTTGGAAATAAACTAAAGAATCAGCTGAAAATGTTGACAGTAGCTTCTGGGAAAAGGGAAATGTAAAGGGATGAGGGACTGCTGTTCCTCTTTGTTAGCCAAGTATAACTAGTTGATGCTTTTTACTAAGTGTGTATTCAGTTCAATTAAATAAAAACCTTTAAAATATGTTAAAGAAAATGAAGTTCAGAGAATGTGTCTTTAAAGTCACACAGCTAGAATTGACTATCTGAAGACTTAATGCACTTTATTGCCTTCATTGCTGATGCTTAATTGTCCATGTGCTATATTTCCGCAGTGTGTGGGTAATACTATATTTTTATTTCTGCTTTTTGGCTATTACAAACATTTTGTGCAAGTCTTTGCATGGACATATTTTCATTTTGGCATTGCTGGGTCGTAGGGTCACTCTGTTTACCTGACTCTGGTCATTCTTTTATTATAGCCGTCCTAGTGGGTGTGAAGTGGTGTGTGGTGGTAATAATTTGTATTTCATTGATGATTATTAGGCATTTGTATATACATTAATTTTTTCAGTGTTAACAATTTAAGGTAAAATTTTAATCTATTTCTCCTCAGATGATGGAAACAAACTCAAAAAATTTATTAGCGTCAGAAAACAGAAAAAGGAATGCTGTTAGAGAAGAAAATGAAAGAAAATTTTGTGGATCGTTGAATACACTTTTGGAAAAAGTAGAGGGAATACCGGAAAAAAGGGGAAAGACGTTAGAGCTACAGGTTTCAGCAGAATGTAGCCAAGACACATCACTGATCCTGCAGGATGTGAATTTACCTCCTCCTGTGTCAACCACAGCTGATAAATTGCAGGAGCAACTGGAAGAGAAAAAAACAGAAGACTCCATTAGACCAGTTGTGGTTTCTGCAGATCCAGGTACATGGCCCCGAATTTTGAGTATTAAGCAGAGGGACACTCTAGTTGAAAATGATCCACCTCAAGTAAGAAATTTTAACTTTCCAAAAGACAGTACAGGGAGGAAGTTTTCAGAAACTTACTATACAAGAATTCTTCCAAATGGTGAAAAAACCACTAGATCCTGGTTACTGTATTCAACCTCAAAAGATTCTGTGTTTTGTCTGTATTGCAAACTCTTTGGGGAAGGGAAAAATCAGCTGAAGAATGAGAATGGGTGCAAAGACTGGCAGCATTTATCACATATTCTTAGCAAACATGAGGAAAGTGAAATGCACATCAACAATAGTGTTAAATATTCAAAATTAAAATCTGATTTGAAAAAAACTAAAGTGGTTGAAGCTGCTGGACACAGATCACAGGAGACTGAGGGAAGCGATGGTGTGAAGCTGTTGTACATGGTCGACCTGGTCTGACATGACCCAGTCATGTGCTTACTCAGATCTGCATCCGCCAGTGGGTATCGCCTGTGCTGAGGCTCTTGGCAGAGCAGCACATCAGTCATTAGCAATAAGTATCACGGCACATAACTAGTAAGATTTCGTTTCATCTCCAAATTCTAAGGGTAATGGCGTTCATAGTGGTTAATGCCAATTTCAGTGAAGGTAAATTGTTACCTTTCCAGTCTGTCTGTTCACACCTTTTTAAATGGGCACTTCAGGAAAGACATTTGACTGGTGAGGCTGATGTTCTGTTTGATTATCTTGAAAGTGAGAGAAAGGCTTGAATTTATCAATACCAGTTGCACAAGATATTTATGTGAACAGGCATGTCATTCAGAAACGGAATGGGATCCGAAACTGCAGCTTTTTGCTGTTAAACCAAATACTTGTGATTTATTTCATTTGGGCAAAACATCCTTTTATTTCAGCAAAATAGCATCATTTGTTACATTAAATTAAGATGGTTAATTTGTGTTTTATTGGTTTGGTTTGGTTTTAATTTAATTTGTAAATGTTTTAGTTTTTATTGTCATGTGAAAACCATAAGCATAAAGAGTGTATACCTATTTTTATGTTGGTACAAATATAAGAAATATTAAAATAAAATATATTAAGTTAACCTTTAGCTATTGTGACTTTTTTTTCTTTTCTGAAGGATAAAATACTCTATTGAAAATTAAGGCTCTCAACTTTTTCAAATGGTTAATCAGTGTTCCCTTCACCATGTAATTCTTTTTATAACCATTTTGTTTTCTGACAACTGGATCATTTCAGTGTTTCAGACTTGGGTCTGAATGAGGCTCTGGGGTGTTTCCAAAAATCCAGACTGCTCCAAAGTGTATCACAGGTTCTGAAGTTCCTTTGCAAACTGTTCATGTGGCCACTATTCCATTAACACTTACCAGTTAATTGAATGACAGGTTTGTTATGTAATCATGTTAGATAGACCTGGACTCCTGAGTGTTGCTGGTGGATGTAACCAGTGTCCAGGTTCTTGTCTCATCGCAGAAAGAGTTCAGAGATGAGACAGGGAGGTCGAGAAAGTTAAGTGGGGACTTACTAAGAGGTAGCTAGTACACTCAGGGAGAGAGCAGGCAGGCTCAGATGAGCATCTGTGCTGAGTTTCTTTGGCAAGTTGGTCACACAGGGTGTAAAAATTAATAGGTGGAATATTCATTTGGGAGGGAAGGGTTTGGGGTCATATTCCGTGATTTTCATCCCAACTCCACCCTCCCAAAGGGAGGAGTGATTTTTGTCTTTATTTGGTCTGGATGGGAAGTGTCATGGCGTTGGTGCATGATGGGTACTTCTAATCTGCAAGGCTAATTTTATTGTAACGAGGGCATAATGAGCAAAAGGTTACATTCGGACCCTGGAGATCCCTGCCTATTCCCACCTTCTTTTCTGTCGACCTCCAGGCCACTCATCACCTCAAAAGGTGTGACCACTTACCAGCCCAGAGCTTCCTGCTTTTCTTTCTCTGCCCATGGACCCCTGGTGCTTACATGATGTGTGGTTTCCTGCATTTGGCCCTTGCCCCTCCTTCCTGCCCAATTCCTGCCATTTGGTCTGCATCCCCCTTTCTCTGCTCATATCTAGCTATAGCCTGCTCTAACATGAGCAAACTAACCAGTGGCCACTTAAGATATTTTGGAAAAAAGGTAAAATTTATCCATTGAGAAAACAAAGTTAGAGTCTCACCTTTGAATTCTTTGATTTCTTCAACACTGCATGGCACACCATGAACTCTTCATGTAATAATGAGTTAAATGTGAAAAATTCAAAAGATGTAAGTGTTAGATTTATGTGTTCATTGTAAATTTCTTCCAACCTATTGGTTATGAAATTTTTCATAATGAAATGTTGAAGGAAAAGTCAAATGTAAATTCAGAAGATAATAAAAGTAAATAACTCCAGGCAGCGTCATCATTTAGGATTTTTTCCCACTTATTTTGGTTTTTTTTTTAAACATTGAAAAATTAGTATGTGCTGCCTGTAGAGAAGGAAGGGAGAAAGCACAGAGAAGGGCAGGTCCTGTCTACATCCCCCAACTCCCCTGCTGCAGGCTGTGTCCTCAATGATCCGGACAACCCAGGGTTTGTTTCCATCATTTTAATTTTACTGAGAAAAGGCATTAGAAAAAAAAATCTCCTACAAATTTAATATAAAAAATTAGGAAAGACAATTCAGAATAACAGTCCTCAAGAAATGGCAATTTATTGGTTTTGTCACCTCACAGGGCACAATTGAAAATTTTTTCATAAACCTCAGATTTTCAAAATTGCTGCCTTGAAGGTTCATGACACTGAGCCATCCTCTCCGTGTGGCTCCCTCCCCACCTCCCCTGCGCAGTGCTGAGAGCCAGGAGCAGTTGCTAACTGTATGTACAAGTCACAGTTTGTTGCTGAGTAAGTAACTGAAGTAAAGAGCTCCGTCAAGTTCAGTGGAAGGAATAACGTTCATACCATTTCTGCTTCAAAGCTTTGAAGTTCCCCATTGTTTTCAGTTTTTTGTTTGATTGTTTTCAGTTTTTTGTTTGTTTGTTTTGAGTAAAAGTAGATTTATTTAGAGAGATACAGACTGCATAGAGTGTAAAGCAAGAGGCAAGGAAAGAGGTGTAGGATTGGGTGCTCAGGTTAAAGTAAAGTGGGTACACACGCCACAAACAGAGTGCGGGCCGTCTCCGAAGGTGGGGGGAGCAAAGAAGGGCCCCTTGTTTTCAGTTTAAGGCTCCAACTCCCTGGCAAGATTGATAGCTGCAGTCATCAGTGGCAGACAAAAGGGAAGGGTTGTAGGTAAAGTCAACCTCAAGCACAGACTCTTAGTACGGAAATAGTCCTCTGTAATGTGGAATTACAAAGTGTGACCCTGTTAGGATGAAATTAAGAATTTGAGAATATAACTCAAGCTAAAAGAAAAATCTGAGCCAAGTCTTTGTTTTTGAGAAAGTGTGAAGTTAGTTTGGGGAAATGATGGTGTAATATTGTGGAATAGAGGTTTTCAACAACAACAGATCATGGCTTGTTGTTTTTCAGGCAGTGGTGACTTTAAACACGAAAAGTAGATGATGATGAATCAATGCCCTGGAAGTCACATTTGGAGGGAAGATGTGCTCCTACAGGTTAATAAAGCAGGGGAACCTAAGACCTGGGAAATGGGACTAACACTTAATTCACATGGGTGTTAAGCCTTCGTAAGTCACGTGCTTTGAAACTAATAAAATTGTAAACCTCTAGTGTCTTCAAAGCGAACTCAGTCCATCCACCAGCCCGAGGCACAGCAGTCAATCTACTGACCCCTGGTGTGAAGGGAAGTCCAGCATTAATTTGCAAGGTGCCATGCAAGAACAGGCAGCCAGCTCAAAGGACCCAAATTCCCAGATGGCCTACTTGCATGGGTTTTTAAAGACTAAAATTAAGGGTAAAGCTCTTAAGTGTGTGATCAGCCCATTGTTCTTCTGATTGGTTGGGTCTAAAGCAACAAAGGTATTTCTGGCATCCTGGTCATCATTCTTCTGGCTCCAGTTTGGGCCTCTGAGTAGGTTAAGCAGTTTCCATCTGGTGGGGTCCTGTTTTCTGTAAAGCAACTCAAGGATATGCAGCAGATTGTTACCTGCGTCTCTGGAGGAGGAGCTGGAGGTTCTCCGACCCTTACGGCTGAACTGTTGTTCAAGCTGTTATTGTTTCTGCATTTTCTCACTTCTCTGGTTATTGACTGCTTGAGTCTGCACTTTGGAACTTGGGGAAGGCCTAGGAGATTAAAGCTTTTTCTACAAACAAAAAGATGGGGAACCTGGAGAGGCTCATACTCAGGAAGGCCCACCCCACAGGCCCTGCTCCTTTTGACTAGCAAAACCGATCAAGGGATCAAAAAAGAGAAAAATAACCAATATCAGAATCACTGGAGAGCCTGTGGACATTAAAAACATAAGGAGGTATTATGATCAGATTAGTTCAAAGAATTTGACGAATTTGATGTAATAAAGTACTCACTTGAGAAACAACTTAACAAATCTGTCCCAAGAAAAAAGAGAAAATCTGAACAGGCCTGTGTCTGTTGAAGATACTGACTCTGAAATTACAGGCCTTTCCACACAGAGAAGCAGAGGTGACTCGGAACCCTTCTCTGGTGAGATCTTCCTCGAGGAGGAGACAGCACCGACCCTGAGTAGGCATTCCCGGAGCACAGAAGGAAAGGGCACTTCCCAGCCTGCTGTGTGCAACCAAAAATACTCTGACAAGGATGTTGAATAAATACCAAATAAACAACAAAAACCTTACAAGAATAATGCAAGAAAGAAAAATTACAGGGCATTCTCTCTCATGAACACAACTAAAATCCTAATCAAAATATTAGGAATTGACTATAATAATAAAAGGGATGATACATCATACCTATGGTTATTTCAAGAATAAAAGGCTTGTTTAATATCTGAAAGCAATTGGTATAATTTACCCCATTAACAAAGTAAAAGAAGAAAAAGTTACAAACATCTCAGTAGAAGAAAAGCATTTGATCAAACTCAACAACTACTAATAAAACTCAGCAAGCTAAGAATAGAGGGAAACTTGGGAAAAAGGGAATCCACAAAACCCTACAGTTAATTAAGATCATACTTAAGAGTTAAATACACTTTTCTCCCTGAGTTTAAGAACAAAAACAAACAGTCACTATTATCAGTTCTGCTCAACATTGCTTGAGGTTCTAGTCAGTTTAATAGGGTGAGAGAAACGATACAAAGATTGGAAAAGGAGAGAATAAAACCATCATTTGCATTTGACATGTCTATATACAGAGAAACAGAATTATAGCAAACTATTAGAATTAATTAGATAATTTAAGAAGGAAGTTAGATGCAAGGCTAGTATGTTTTTAAAAATTAATTGTATTTCTATGTATTAGGAATAAACAATTAGAAAATGAAGTTAAATGCTGTTTACAACAGTACAAAAAAGTCAAACAGGAGTGATCTAGTAACAGAGATGTACAATCTCTACACAGTAGCCTATAAAACATTAATGAAAACCTGGATTGGAAGACTTGATATGAACATAAAGCTGTCAGCTTTCCCAACATTGATCTAGAGTCCACCCAATCCCAGTCAAAATCTCATCTTGTCTTTTTGTGTGTGGTGGAAATTGACAAACTGATGTTTTTTTTGACAAACTGATTTTAAAGATAGGAAATGCAAGATCTTAGAATTAAAGTTCAAGCATTCTTGAAACAAATGTGGAGGATCTATCTTACCCTGCCCCATCAAAATGTATTCTAAAACTGCAGTCAAGTCTGACATCATTGCAAGGATGGTCAAATAGATCCATAAGTAGAGTAGAAACAAAACTACACATATTTAATCACTGGTTTACAACAAAGGCACTATTGCAATTCAGTGATGAAAGGATGGTCTTGTCAATAAATGGTGCTGGGTCTCCATATGAAAACGGGAACCTTGACCTGTCTTACACCATGCAGAAAAACGTATTTGAGATTGATCATAGACTTACATGTGAAAAATTAAGCAATAAAACTTCTATAAGAAAACATAGGAAAATATTTTTATGACCTTGGGAGAGGCAAGAATTTCTAAAGCAGTGCCCAAAGTGTAACCATAAAAATTTAAAATAG